AAACTGGATGTCACAGCTCATAGCTGCTTTTGTACTTTTCCCGCAGCATTATGCTGCTTCTAGTCATGAATCAAATTGCTGGACTGAAGGGTTTGAACCTGCCATAGACCCATCTTGGTTCAAGTCCTGGCTCCTGGTGCTTGTGTGACGTTGAACCCCTTGAATCCTGGGTGTTCTCTGCTATAAAACAGAGATGATAATAAACATACCTTCCTGATGGGTTTTTAAATGAAAGTTTCATGGAGCAATGCAGGTAGAGCCTGCAGTGCTGTATCTGGCTCTAACTAAGCACTCCATGATTGTTTAAGATTCTGTTATTCTGGCTGGGTGTGGTGGCTCACGCCTGTAATCCCAGCACTTTGGGAGGCTGAGTGAGGTGGATTACCTGAGGTTGGGAGTTTGAGACCAGCCTGGCCAACATGGTGAAACCCTGTCTCTACTGAAAATACAAAAAATTAGCCGGGCGTGGTGGCGGGTGCCTGTAATCCCAGCTACTGAGGAGTCTGAGGCAAGAGAATTGCTTGAACCCAGAGGGCAGAGGTTGCAGTGAGCTGAGATTTCGCCACTGCACTGCAGCCTGGGTGACTCAATCTCAAAAAAAAAAAAAAAAAAAAAAAAAAAAAAAAAAATCTCAAAAAAAAAAAAAAGAAAAAAAAGATTATGTTATTCTTAGACTGGCAGCCCCACAGTGAACAAAGCAAGCAGCTTCTGCAATTGGCATCCTCACGACAACACTGTGAGGTTAGAATTTTCACTCTCATGGCAGAAGTAGAAGCTGAGGCTTAGCGAGCCTCTGCTCCCAAGCTCAATAGAGGAAAGTGGGTCCTGTTTGTCTCTCCTGGGCTAAGCTGCTTTGAAAGCAGAGGCTGTGTTACCCTCCCTGGCCCCGGCTGTGAGCATGGCGTCCTGCCCACCAGCTTCTAAATCCATTGGCTCCTCCAGTCGAAAAGGCAAATCCCCTCCTCACTTCTGCCAGGGTGAGCCCCAGCCTGACACTGGTGCAGGACACTGCCCTTCTGTGCCTCAGTTTCTCCATTAAAAACAGTTGTGATAATTTCAGCCCTGGCATTGGTATCAAAAGACCTGAGTGTGAACACTGATTTGGAGTGGCCTTGAGCAATTGAATTAATTTTCTTTTTCTTTGAGATAGAGTCTCGCTCTGTCACCCAGGCTGAAGTGCAGCGGTATAAACTTGGCTCTCTTCAACCTCTGCCTCCCAGGTTCAAACGATTCTCTGGCCTCAGCCTCCTAAGTAGCTGGAATTACAGGCATGTGTCACCATGCCTGGCTAATTTTTGTATTTTTAGTAAAGACGAAGTTTCACCACGTTGGCCAGGCTGGTCTTGAACGGCTGACCTCAGGTGATCTGCCTGCCTCAGCCTCCCAAGTGCTAGGATTACAAGCATGAGCCACTGCGCCTGGCCTTGACTTCATTTTCTTAGTTTCTGTGGCTTTGCCTGCAAGAAGGGGCTAGTAGTAGAATGTGATAATAGGATGGTAAGTGAAAAGAGAGAGCACCAAATAGCAATCAATATGCTTCTAATTACATTTTTAAAAGTCAGTCTATGTGTATGTGCTTGTATCTACTTTCTCAAATATACAAAGAAAATCAACCAAAACATTCCCAGGAGTACTTTCCGGACACTGGGCTCATGGGTGATTTTTGCTTTCTTCTTTCTATGACTTTTGTACTTCCCAGTTTTTCTTTGATTTTCCTTTTTTTTGACAGGGTCTTTGTCACCCAGGCTGAAATGCAATGATGCACAGGTCACTGCAGCCTCCAACTCCTGGGCTCAAGGGATCCTCCTATCTCAGCCTCTGGAGTAGCTGGGAGTACAGGAACATGCCACCGTGCCCAGCTAATTTTAATTTTTTTTTGTAGAGAGGGGATCTTGCTATGTTGCCCAGGCTGGTCTTAACTCCTGGCCTCAAGCAATTCCCCTGCCTCGGTCTCCCAAGTGCTGGGATTAGAAGCATAAGCCAGTGTGCTCGGCCCAGCTTTTCTATAATGAGTATGTGTCTCTTACAATCAGAACTTAGCAACTGAAGTCCTAAATGATAGTTGCCTTTACTGCCCAGGGTTGTCTGGGGATTGGCTGTGGATACCCATGAGGTGTCCTCTGTGAGCAAGCTTGTGTGGTACTGATTGTGCTTGCTCTGCCCTCCTGGGGTGCAGCCAGGCTGGCATCCGTAGGTCCCACAGGGCTGGCCCTCTGGCTGGGGGCAGAAGGACCTACTGCCTCCATGAAGATATGATCTCATCAAGGCTGAAGATTTCACCCAAAAGGGAGAGGAAGGAAAGAAACTAGAAGCAAATAACTGATTTCCAACGTCAGTCCCATCCCTGCCTCCTTGGGCCAAGCACTTGGCTTTTCTGGTCTTAGTTTCCTGATCTGTAAAAGAGGATTAAAGTGGGCTTCCCACACTATTGGGGAGCAGGTTGCATGCAGACCCTCTGACACTTAGCTTATTTGGGTTAGGAGTCAGAGAAACCAAGTAAGGAGTGCACCTGGCATATGGCCAGACCCAGGGAGCCCGTAACACCTGTATTCTGAGTGCAATGCAAGGGCTGTTCTATGATGAGGATCAGATGTTCCTTCCATCCAGCAGGAAGCAGGGAACGGCTCTGACGCCCCAGTGAAGTCTGATTGGCTGTTGGAAGTGGAAGGTGTGACTGAAGCACTGACACAGTTTTGCTTCATCAGCTACCGCTGGAACCTCCTGGGGCAAGGCAGAAGGGTCAGAACAGGACGAGGGGCTGTCATCCATGTCCTGAGACATTTGTGGAGCCTTTGGTATACACAGCGCAGATAGAGGTTCCCCTGAGAAGCTGACTGTCTAAAAGTGACACAAACCCTCTTCCCTGGCACCTGTCTCTGAAATGCCCATCAGGACCCTGAATAGCTTCCCGTTGCCAACTGAAGCAGTCCTCAATCCTGCACATTAGAAGGCCCTGGAGAGACTTAATCCTGATGCTCAGGACTTACCATTTACGGGGGTGAGCTTTTGTCGTTAGCGTTTTAAAAATCTCCCCAGCATCTATGGGAAATGCTGGCGGGGAGGACCTACTGACCCCACCCAATGAAACAATGGCTTTGCCTTCATCTTGCCTCCCCCACCCTTGAATCACCTGTAAAAGATATGATGTCACATCTTTGGTGCACTTAACATAGAGCTTTGTTGGAAAAGAAATCAGTGTTTTTTTTTTTGTTTTGTTTTGTTTTTGTGTGTCACCCAAGCTGGAGTGCAGTGGTGCGATCTTGGCTCACTGCAGCCTCTACCACCTGGGTTCCAGCGATTCTCCTGCCTCAGCCTCCTGCATAGTTGGGATTATAGGTGCCTGCCACCATGCCCAGTTAATTTTTGTAGTTTTAGTAGAGACGGGGTTTCAACATCTTGGACAGGCTGGTCTTTAACTCCAGACTTAGTGATCCACCTGCCTTGGCCTCCCGAGGTGCTGGGATTACAGGCGTGAGCCACCGCACCCGGCCCATTCAGTGTTTTAAATCATCATCTCATCCTGCTTTCAACAGGCCCAGGGGTTACCAGCAGGTGCTCTGGGGAGGGCACCGCCACATCTGATGCTGTCGACATTCCAGTTCCTCCGACCCTGCTGCCTCCCTCCCCCATCCTGCCACACAGACCCTGCCCTCAGCCAAGGCTACTTCCCATCTCCAAGTTGGGACTCTTCCCTTTTCCCCATCCTCTGCATTTCGAAATACTCTCAGGCTGAGTTTAAATGCCACTTCTACCATGAAGCCTTCCCTCCTTCACCCAGTGGATCTGGGATTCTGTGCTTTCTCTAAGCTTCTCTTACTCTCAGTCATAATGAGCTGCTTATGTGCTCATTTCCTCCACTGAATTAAGAGTTTCTTGAGGTCAGGGTGCACATCTTGCTTTCTCCCCCCAATGTTCGAACACAGTAGATAACACATGCAGGTATCAGTGAAGCTTTGCTGAAAGAATGGTTGCATCTCACACTCTTTGAAGAGAGTATATATCTCTTCCCATCAGAAATAGGCAATCAAAAGTGTAGAGTAACAGCTGTCCCTCATGGTGGCTTGTCCTACAAATCCCCCTTGAGCTCAGCACTGGTGAGTAGGGACCAAAAGTTCATTGCTAGGACATCAGTTTCGGGGCCTCACTCCATCACTTGCTAGGCCAGACCTTCATGTGTGACATCAGCTGTCAGCGGGAGGCAGTCAGTCTCCACTGACTCCACAGTCTCTGCTGCCACACTGCCAGCGGTGGGAACAAGAACAAGCAGCCCCCCAGCATGTTTGCTGCTGTCTGTATGGATGACACCATTGCACATAAAATCACTAGTGCTCCGTTATTGCAGTTGGGCCTCCTAAAAACTCCTAGAGCTGGGCAGGGCAAGGGAGGGACCTCCCCTGGTCTTCAGCTGGAGGGCTGAGGCATGACAGGATGCCAGGTTTAGAGCCCAGTTGGGCCCGGGTCTTCTAACCCATGGAGCCTGCTGTGCCACAGTGCTCCCTCACCTCCTTTGATCCTCCTGCATGCTGGGCTGGAGAGAAAAGGAAGGGCTACTGACCCATTTTACAGAAGGAACCCTAGCAGTTTAAGGACTGAAGTCTAGTGGAGGCTCAGCAGTGGAGGAAGAGTAAGCTGTCGGGAGGGTGGTGGGCGAGTGGTAGGGTCCTGACCTGTCTCGGCGTCTCTGGAAAGCTGGGTGTGGCCTCTGAGGTGAGAAGATAGTTGTGGGCCACCAGCAGGCCATGACAGGCAGGCAGCGTTACCCAGGCTTCTCTCTCTCCAGTCTCTCCTGTGTGGCATCTCCTTTGAGGGTCAGAGAACCCAGGGAGGGAGGCAAGCCGGGGTGGGTCTCATCATAGAAAAGAGAAGACTGGGGTCAAGAGGGTATGTTCCTGCCAGGATGCCAGCTTCTGATGCCACCTGCAAAATTGGTGGCACCACCTCAAACTCAGCAATGGCCTTTTCAAACCTGGCTCAGTACAAACAACTCCCAAACCATACACTTTAGGAAAACTTCAAAAGAGATTCCAAAAATTGTTTTTGGTGTTATACGTTGCTCAGTGGCTTGGAGGTCCTGATCAGTCTGCTAAGAGAAGTGGCTGCCTCAGTTAATCAAGTGATGTGGGACTCTGGAAAGCACCAGAGGTGAGGCCTCCAGGCAGGAAGAGCAAGGTTTACGCCCCTCTCCTTCTCAAGGCACCTGGGAGCTCACAGTGACCGGGTTTCACCTGCAGGAAGTGAAGTGGTGTTTGGCTGGTGGAGGCACAGGACGAGGGGGCTGTGTGTGCTCCTGCGTGTTGGGGAAGCTGAGCTGCCAGGCCCAGGGTGGCAGGTGCCCTGCAGGCCAGGCTAGTCCAGCAGGGGTTATTGAAGATGAGTGAGGAGCTGGGAGGGCAGAAAGCTCCTGAATGTTTCCAGAACCCCCTGTAACTCTAGGACTCACCTGAGCCAGGAGGCCTAGAATTACAGACTTTCTGGGCTGGAAGGAACTTTAAAAGTCTTCAATTCCAACCCTCAATTTGAAGTCCCACTGGAGCCCTCTGGATTTGCTTGTTCACCTCCAGTGACAGGGAACTCAGTTCAGGCCTGGACAGACTGCATTCACACGGCCCCCCCATCCCTTTCACCCAGTCCTGTTTCTGACCCTGGACAGGAGGAGGGCAGGCCTGTGTCCAGGTCTCCCTGGTGGCCCTGCAGAGAACTTCCTAGCCCGAGAGCTTCTCTGCTTAAGTCCCACAGTTCCAGGCCTGGTTCCATTTTCTTCCCATCTTGGTGATAGTCCACCTTGACATTTGGGGCTGGAGTGGCCCCCTGGCCTCCTGGTGTTACAGGGTCAGTGCAGAGCGGGGAGCAGCTCTGCCTGTCTCCTTCTGACCCTTTGCCTTTGTGGGACCAGCCTACATCCTGCCATCCTAACCAGATAGCCAGCCAATAGTCGACCCCTCAGTCTTGCTCGGATAGTGCTAGTCTTTGCCCATCCTGGTGCTCTGGGGTCTTGGGCGCCAAGGGCAGGGCATCACAGTCCTCTCACTAGCTCCCATCTGAGTTGGAGCTCCCTCAGGAGCCCCGCCCACCCTAAGTGCTGGTCTCCACAATGCACTTGAGGAACATGGTGTCGTCCCTCACGTAGGCGTGCTTGGGTGACTGCAGCTTGCTGAGGGGGAAGAAGAGTGGACAGCCACTGGCCACGTTGGTTTCACTCTGGGGCCTCTGGAAGGACGCTGAGCTCAGGTCAGGCCGGAAGGCATCGATGGCGTGCTCACGATTGTTCTGGTCCAGCAGCATGAAGGTGACCTGAAGGGAAGGGACAGGTGGGAGATCAGGCCCAATAGCAGAGCAGCTTGGAGGCCCAGGCTTGGGCTCAGAGCTGTGCTCCATGCCTACCGCCTATGCAGCCCCTCGGACCCTTGGCTCAGATGGATTCGGAGTCAGAGAAGCCAGGTAAGGAGCACAGCTGGTGTATGGCCAGGCTCAGGGAGCCCACATCACCTGATATTCTGAGTGCACTTCAGGGGCTGTTCTATGATGGGGATCAGATGTTCCTTCCACCCAGCAGAAAGCGGGAAGGTTCTGATGCCCCAGTCAAGTCTGATTGGCTGTTGGGGCGAAAGGTGTGACTGAAGCACTGACAAGGTGGGCGGATGCAATAACCTATCACACCCCCTCTGGCGTGGACAGTTTTGCTTCATCAGCTACAGCTGGAACCTCCTGGGGCAAGGGAGAAGGGTCAGAACACACAGGTCTTCTAACGAGGGGCTGTCATCCATGTCCTGAGACATTTGTGGAGCCTTTGGTATACACAGCGCAGATAGAGGTTCCCCTGAGAAGCTGACTGTCTGAAAGTGACACAAACCCTCTTCCCTGGCACCTGTCTCTGAAATGCCCATCAGGACCCTGAATGGCTTCCCGTTGCCAACTGAAGCAGTCCTCAATCCTGCACATTAGAAGCCCCTGGGGAGACTTAATCCTGATGCTCAGGCCTTATCACTTACGGGGTAAGATTCTGTCGTTGGTGTTTTAAAAATCTCCCCAGCGCCTTTGGGAACTGCTGGGGGTGGGAGGACCCACTGATTCTCATGGCACACCTGCCCTGCCCCACCTGTTTCCCAGGACCTGAAGTCTCTATTCTTGACACTCTGCACTCACGCAATGCTGCTGTTCACCCACAGGGAACGTCTATCCCCCAAACCCCTCTATAAGAATTTTTTTTTTTTTTTTTTGAGACAGAGTTTTGCTCTTGTTGCCCAGGCTGGAGTGCAACGGTGTAATCTTGGCTCACTGCAACCTCTGCCTTCTGGGTTCAAGCAATTCTCCTGCCTCAGCCTCCCAAGTAGCTGGGATGCACCACCTCACCTGGGTAACTTTTTGTATTTACTACAGACGGGGTTTCACCATGTTGATCAGGCTGGTCTTAAACTCCTAACCTCAGGTGATCCACCCACCTTAGCCTCCCAAAGTGCTGGGATTACAGGTGTGTGCCACTGCACCTGGTCAATAATTTTTAATAGACTTTATTTTGTTTATGTTTTCTTTTACAAGACGGAGTCTCTCTGTTGCCTAGGCTGGAGTGCAGTAGCGTGATCTCGGCTCACTGCAACCTCCACCTCCTGGGTTCAAGAGATTCTCCTGCCTCAGTCTCCTGAGTAGCTAGGAATACAGGTGCATGCCACCACATCTGGCTAATTTTTTTGTATTTTCAGTAGAGACAGAGTTTCACCATGTTAGCCAGGATGGTCTCGATCTCTTGACCTTGTGATCCACCCGCCTCAGCCTCCCAAAGTGCTGGGATTACAGGCATGAGCCACCATGCCAGGCCTAATAGACTTTATATTTTAAAGCAGTTTTAGGTTCAAAGCAAAATTCAGCAGAAAACACAGAGTTCCCATATACCTCCTGCCCCCACCCAATGCACAACCTCTCCCACCATCAGCATCCCCTCCAAAGTGGTACTTTTGTAACAATTGATGAACCTGTATTGACACATCATTATCATCCAAAGTCCACAGTTTACATTGGCATTTACTCTTGGTATTTCAACTTCTATGGGTTTTGACAACTGCATAAGGGCATGCATCCACCATAACGGTATCAAACAGAATAGTTTTGCTGCTCCCAAACTCCTCTGTGCTCTTTCTGTGCATCTCTCCCTGCCCCTACTCTTGGACAACTGTGTTAGCCAGGATGGTCTCGATAATTTTTTTGTATTTTTAGTGGAGGCTCAAGCAATCCTCCTGCCTCAGCCTCCCAGGTAGCTGGGACTACAGGCACGTGCCACCACGCCCAGCTAATGATTTTTATTTTTAGCAGAGATGAAGTCTTGCCATGTTGCCCAGCCTGTCTCAAGCTCCTGAGCTCAACCAATCCTCCCGCCTCAGTCTCCCAAAGTGCTGGGATTGCAGATGTGGGGCATTGCACCTGGTTATGAATTTTATTTCTATATAACCTTCAGGAAGATTCCGGACATTTTAGCTCCTGGACTCATGGAGCTGGAGGGAGCCCTAGTTACCAGATCTGATTGTTTTATAAAAAAGGAGACTGATAACACAGAGCAGGGGCATGGTGGGGGGGACTTTCCATGTCACATGGTCAACTCATTGCCAACCCAGGCCTAGGACTCAGGTTCCCATGCTCCCCACCTTACCCCTGCGTCTCCACACTCGTACCTTGTTCCGGAAAGGCCACGGCAGCAGCGCATCATACTCCCCTCTCATGATCACAATGAAGAGTGACAGGTGGGTCCTCTTTCCAGTGCCATCTCCATTCAGGTATAGCCGTAGGCACAGCTTGTAGCCATACTTGGCAGTGTAGAATGCTGAAATGCAGAAGCCTGAGGCAGCTGGGAAGTGCTGGACTTTGCAGATGCAGGACGGGGACCCAGCGGTTAGGCAAGCCCAAGGTCAGTGGCTCACAACCATGAAATATGGGGTTAGAGCCCAACATTCTTCTCGACTAGGGTGTCAGAGAGGAATGGGCTCTTGGGGATCATCTAGCTCAGGGTTTGTCCCCTGGCCATCCAAGTCCTATACTGCCAGGCCCCACCCTCAGAGTTTCTCACTCAGTAACCCTGGGGTGGGAACTGAGAGTTGGCATTTCCAGCAAGTTTGCAGGGGTTGCCAATACCGCTGGCCCTAGGGCCACACTCTGAGAACCACTGATCTAACCAACCTACATTTTAGTCTGGAAACCAAGCTGGGTGAAAGAAAGTGGCTGGTCACCATCTCACAGTGTGTTGGGGGCCCAGCAAGAATGAGGGGGCAGGCTTCCTGCCTCCCAGCACTGGATTCTTTCTGCTGCCCTATGCCAACTGGTCGGGGTCCCCTGCAGGCTGGGGGTACATGGGGTGACTCGCAGTTCTGCCAGCCATCCTCAGGTGGCAAAAACCTTTGAGGGATGAATCATCCCTAGTGATGATGCACAGAAACTCCCTGGGCAGCTGAAGGGGCCATCTCACGAGAGCATGTTCTCTGGCAGAGGGTCCTTCTGGGAGGGCTGACTGGGATGTGGATGGGGGTGGGCAGGAAGGGGGTAGAGGAGGGTGTGATGCCTATTACGTTTTGGTAGAACAGGAAGCCCAAGGCACTGCTTCCTTTTTCCTTCTTTGAAAAGAATTGAGGGAAAAAGTCTACAAGCAGGGCTCGAGGCCACCCCATGAAGAGGCTGTCCTCACAGAGCAGGATGAGCACTGCTCCTGCAGGAAAGGGGTCCCAGCCCTGCTCTGGGAGTGTGACAAACGCTCCTGACTCGGTTAAAAAAATTTTTTTGAGACAGGGTCTTGCTTTGTTGCCCAGACTGGAGTGCAGTGACACCATCATAGCTCACTGCAGCCTCGAACTCCTTAAGTGATCCTCCCACCTCAGCCTCTAAGTAGCAAGAACCACAGGTGCAGGCCACCATGCCTGGCTAATTAAATTTTTTTTTCTTGTAGAAATGGGGTCTTGTTATGTTGCCCAGGCTGGTCTTGAACTCCTGGCCTCAAATGATCCTCCTGCCTTAGCCTCTCAAAACGTGAGGATTACAAACATGAGCCACTGCACCCAGGTCACTGCCTCATTTTCTGCACAAATATATGCATTGTTATATTAACAGATATCATTTAATTAAGAGGAACACTTACCAAGTAATTATGCAAGACATTGTGCCAAGCCCAGGGGCCCCAGAAATGAGTAAGAAATGAGTAAGACACTGATTCACTTGCTAACTGCAATTGTATACAAATGCACGTGTCTTACTCAGCTCTCTAATCTTATTTCAGACTGTCAGCTCTCTGAGGCCAGGGGCCCTACGGTGTTCACTTGTGAAAATCATCATCCACATCCATCTCATCCACCCACAGCACACTTACCATCACATCCCAAATCCATGAAGTGGGTAACAATTTTGCTTCCTATTTGCAGAACATGACTGACATCCAGGGAAGAGAGGGGCCTGAATGTCAGTCAGCTTGGGCCACTGCTGTGTGTGGCTGAGAGCCACAGGGCACAGCACGGTTCCCCCACAAACCCCAAGGTCCCTGCATGGTTCCCAGCCATGGCGAGTGGCCTGAATGGGCACCAGCCTAAACTGGACACAGCACGGCTGTCACAGAGCTGGCTGTTTTCACTGCTTGCTTCCTGGGTCCTCTGTGCCCCTGGGAGGTGTTACCTGGGGAGAAAAGGCTGACAGTCTTGCCACAGGCTGACTCTTGGCACCGCCTGGTGACGTTGGTGATCTTCCACAGGAAGGTGCCATCAAAGGAGGCTTCCTCCATGAGGCGCAAGCTCTGCTCCAGCTTGCCCAGGGCCTGGTCTTTCTGGGCCAGGGTCCGCTGCAGCTCCACCACCTGTAGGGAAGGCTGTTCAGCTAGGAGCACCAGAACCCGGCTTGGGGATGGGATGGGGACGGCAGGATGTGGAGACTGATCAGCCCCAAATATGCTTTCCCGACCACGCCTCACTCAGGCACATGCGTCTGTGTTTGAATGTGCTGCCCTCTGCCTGGCCTTCCTTTTCTTTATCCACCAGGAATCCAGGCCCCTCATCTGGGAGCCTTCAACCACTGTCCTAGTTCAGCTGCTCTCTCTCAACATGCTCTTACAGAGCCCTTACTATGATTTTATGAGACATATTTTTCTGCCTTGTCTACCAGATGGTCTCCTCCACCGGGGGCTCATTTTGTCTTGCTGTCCACACCCTGCGTAGTGCCTGGCATGTAAAAGTAGAGCCAGGAAGTCTGTGGGTGAAATGATGACACAATTGTGGCTTTCAGGTAGCCCACTTTTTGACTGGGGCAAGAGTTACATAAATAAAGTCTCAGTCACTCCAACTCAGTGCCTGGCTCTTCTAATAGATTTCCCCAATAAAATGGAAAGAATACAAATTTATTCTTGAGTGTGTTCAGGTAGGGAAGCCATGAATGGAAATGAGCGTCCTTAAAGAAAATTTAATCCTTAATTTTACTGATGGGGAAGCTGAGGTCCCAGGGGGAAAGTGACTTGCTCAGACCCACATGGCAGGTGGCTCTGAGCACCTGCTGTAATGGTAACCGCGAATGGTGAGGCAGACAATGGTAATGGTGAAGCAGAAACTAAAATCCAGGCCCAACTCAATATGAGACAATGATGTAATGTTAATGTTACTCCAAAAGAAGCAACATTAGAATGGTAAGTGGCTACATTAAGGAAAGTATACGCTCTAGAATAAAGGAGGAGACAGCCCTGCTGGAGCAAGAACTGTCGATAGTGGATTATCTGGTCAGCCTGGGACCACACTCCAAGCATACAGAATTCTTTAGAGGTGGAGCCAGAGCATAGGAGGGCAATGTGAAGCAGCATGCTCTGAGAAGAGGTGAAGGCACCGGGGCTTTTAGTCTGAAAAGGGAAGCACTCAGATAGGACAGAATCCAACTCTCTGTCCCTGAAGTTGTGGGGACTAGAAGGTGGAGTTGTCTTGTGGGCTCTGAGGGGCAGGTTCAGGCACAATGCAGGGAAGAGACAGAGTGGCCGATTTTAGCTTAGTGTAAGGAAGTACTTGCTAATCGTGGAATATGTCCTGCAATGGAATGAGCTGCTCAAGGAGGTGGTGTCTTATCACAAAAGTTCAAGCAAAGGAACTGAAGCACTGGATGGGGAGCTGTGACCTTGACTACAGCTTCTAACTCAGTGCTCTTCCTGGAAGGGTGTGGGGGAAAGGGGAGATATGTTTTGATGGAGTGACTGCTCTAAGCAGGATGAATGATTAGGAAGAAGCCTGTCTGCTGCTCTGGAGTCAGGATGGGGCTCAGCCAGGCTTGAAAGCAAACTTGCCTCCTACACTCACCCTCTGCTCCAAGTTCACAATGCGCTCACGGTCCAGCTGGCTCTGGTGGATGGAGGTGGCCAGGGCCAGGTGGGAAGCCTCCACCTCCTTGTTGAGGACAGCAACAATGTTCTCAAACACACGCAGCTTCCCCTCCAGCTCAGCCAGAAGCTTCTCCTTCATGAAGTGCTGCAGGGCCAGCTCCTCCTGGCTCTCGGAGCAGGGTGCCCGGTAGCAGTCTACCTCCAGGTCCCCCGCCACTTCCACAGCCGCCTGCAGCTGCAGGTCTGACAGGTTCTGCTCCAGGGCCATGGGCCCAGACTCCAGGCCAGAGCTCAGCCGGGCCTTCCACTGTTTCATAAACCCCAACAGCAGGTTTAGGTGGGAGGTCTGGTAGGTGACCTCATGCTCTTGCATGGACTGCGGGCTCCCCTGCCAAGAGAGTGGGGCTGATCAGTGTAAACAGTGGAGGGAGGACAGGGGAACAGCGGAGAGCAGTGGAGAGCCCTGCTATCAAAAGTCCCCAAGGAAAGTCAGATCCATTCACCCAGCAAAGAAGAGTGGGTTTCTGTACAGTGAGAGGGATTGAGGAGGAAGATCCTGGCATCAGATATGCCCACGATGAGCCATATACATCGCAGCCTCTAATTCTGCCCTGCCCTGGAGTGCAAGGGTGATTCAGGACCATGGAGAGAAGCGGCAGGGGTCGGGTGGGGGTCATTTTAGTGATGTTCTGCCAATGCTTAGGTGAGACATTAAGAAGAACTTCCCTAAGTACTATCATGGCTTAATAGTAGGATCTAATGCTTGGGAAAGTCATTAGTACAAGGGACATCCAGATAAGTGGGCTGATGTTATGGGAAAATCTTAGAGGGGCTGCAGTGGGGAGACCCAGAGGTCCAGAACCGTAGTGGACAGATCTCCTTTCTCACACTCAGGTTCTTACCTTGAAGGAGCAGCCGACACCTGCAAAGGGGCACCCAACTCCAACCTCAGCCACCTCTGGGTGAGCCTGGAAATAATAATCACGTTACTGAATGTTATAGCGATCCCTGTGGCTACCCTGGGGCCTCTCTGCAATATACCAGGATCCACCAAGGCAGGAGATGAGTTGGGCCACACAGCTTTGCAGATGCTGTTCCCTCTGGCTACCTCCTTTCTACTCTTCAAGCTTCCACCCTTCCATGACTTTCCTTCAAACCAGGACCTGGGCCCTGACTGTGATCCTGGATAGTACTGCTATTTCTCCTGTCAGCGCACAGTCCGCACAGCTCTGTAACCATCACTCACTCTCTGGTTGCCCTGACTGGTCGGAGGGGCTCTGTGAGGGTCATGGCACATTCCCAGTGCTGAGGGCAGTGCCCGGCACAGCGGAGACACTCGGAACACACTGGCTGCTCCCTCCTCCTGAAGCCTATGGGGAATGGTGTGCACACAATTCCCATCTGCATCCCTCCTTGGTCGTCTATCCTTGACTGAGATGCGTCCACTCTGCACAACTTTCCCTTCCAGATAACGTCCAGCTGAGGGAAGGGACACAGAGGGGTCTTCAGTACTATTATAATAGCAATTTGACCCCACTGTTAGCCTATTTAGGTCTGAAGCATTTACCAAATGCTTTCATGGTCGTAATTCTTCGCAGGGCTCCTTACAGCATGGTGGGGAAGAGAGGGTGGGTTTTTACTTCTATTTTACTTATGAAAAAACTGAGGCTCACAGAAGGGAAGAGATTTGCCCAAGGAGGCAGAGCTGGGAGGCAGCACAGCCACAGGGCCCCTCCCATGCACATCACTACCTCTTAACAGGAGTCAGCCCAGGAGAGATGGGAGCAAAGTTTTTCCAAAACATATACAGTCATGCAACAGGAATACGTTCTGATAAATGTGTCATTATTGTGGGATCATCATAGAATGTATTTACACAAACCTAGATGGTATACCCTGCTACACACCAAAACTCTGTGATAGCCTATTGGCCCTAGGCTACAAACCTGTACAGCATGTGACTATACTGAATACTGTAGGCAATTGTAACATGATCCCGTGTGTAACTAAATATATCTAAACATAGAAAAAATACAGTGAGAGTACAGTACTTTACTCTTCTGGGACCATCGTATATGCAGTCCGGTGCTGACTGAAATGTTATGTGGCACACGATTGCATCTTCAAAATGGCTTGTATCCAGAATATATAGAAAACTCTTACAGTCTAATAAGAAGACAAATGACCCAATGAAAAATGGGCAAGGCCAGGCTCAGTGGCTTAACACCTGTAATCCTAACCCTTTGGGAGGCTGAGGCAAGAGGATCGTGCTTGAGGCCAGGAGTTCAAGACCACCCTGGGCAACATAGTAAGACCTCGTCTCTACTTTAAAAAATTTAAAAATTAGCCAGGCTTGGTGGTGTGTACCTATAGTCCCAGCTACTTGGGAAGCTGAGGTAGCAGGATCACTTGGGTCCAGGAGTTCAAAGCTGTAGTGAGCTATGATCACATCACTGTACTCCAGCCTGGGTAGCAGAGAAAGACTCTGTCTCTCTTAAAAAAAAAAAAAAAAAAAAAAAAAAGGAAAATAACAGATACAATCTATGAAAGTATCTTATAAAGTTAAACCATACTTATAAAATAATTTACTTATAAACCATACTTATGGCTGGGTGTGGTGGCTCAGGCTTGTAATCCCGGCACTTTGGGAGGCCGAGGTGGGCAGATCATGAGGTAAGGAGCGCAAGACCAGCCTGACCAACCTGGCGAAACCCCGTCTCTACTAAAAATACAAAAAAATTATCCGGGTGTGGTGGCATGTGCCTGTAATTCCAGCTACTAAGGAGGTTGAAGCAGGAGAACTGCTTGAATCTGAGAAGCAGAGGTTGCAGTGAGCTGAGATCGTGTCTCTGCACTCCAGCCTGGGCAACAGAGTGAGACTGTGTCTCAAACAAACAAAAAAACCATACTTATAAAGTTATCATACAATCCACACATTTCACGCCTAGGAACTTACCTAAGAGAAAGTAAAACATAATGTCTGCACACAGATGTGTATGTGAGTGTTCATAGCGTCTTTGTTCAAAGCAACCCAAACGTGTCATCAACTGGTGAGTGGATAAACAAATTGGTCTGTATATGCTACAGAACAACCAAATGGAATTAAATACCAGTAACGTGGATGAACCTCAAAAACATTATGCTAAGTGAAAGAAGACAGCACCAAAGACTACATATTACACATTTCCATTCTTACAAGCTTCTAGAAAAGGCAAAACTAGAGTGACCGTAAGTAGATCGGTGGTTGCCGGGAGCTGTGGGCAGGGAGGGGAGTGGCTATGTGGGGGCAGAAAGCAGCTTTATCCTGTGCAGAAACGTTTACCCCTTGATTGTAGTCGCGGTCACGTGATTATTTACGTTCATCAAACTGTATACTAAAAATGAGTGAGTTTTATTGCATATAAATAATATCTTGATTCTATAAGCACTCTGTTATTTTTTTTTGTTTGTTTTTGAGAGAATAATCTCATGGAACCACGTGAAAGGGGATTTGGATGAAAGCAAGGGAGGACAGAGGTCTTTCGGACTGAGCAAATACAAAAAGCCACACTAGTTATTATTCTTTAAAAGTAACATGAGCAGAGAGCTGTGGGCTTAATGAGTACAGTTGGTTTGGGACACAGACAGAACATAGCCCAGCAAAGGCCACCCTGACCCCCCTCAACTGCCTAGGGCTTCAGGGACAAGTTGTTCCCAACAAAGAATAGAAAACAGATGTTTTATGGAGGGCAGGCAGAGGGCGGCCTTGGCAGGGAGACCGTGCTGGCTTCGGGAAGTCTGTGGTGATGAAACCTCTCCCAACATGTAGCTTTTGACATGTGAGAACAGTGGAGGAGCTGATGCTAGGTGTGGACCTGGCTGCTGGGCGAACACACTTGGGGTAGCCTCTCCGGTCCCACCACTCCCCACGGGTCCATGATCCAATCCTCCGCGGTTCTAAGTGTTGAAGCTTGATGGGAGAGTCATTAAAGGGATAAGAACGTGAAATGATCAAGCTACGAGTGAAATTCCAGACATCACCCTGCAGGTGGAGGGGATGTGTCTTTTAGCAGTGGAGCCTTCCTGGTATTGTGTAAACAGCAAATGCCTGTTTCAGAGAGTAAAATGCTATACAAATGTAGGGGCCTCCTTCTGTGACGTGTGTACAGATGTGGACTGTGATGAGCCTTGAACGGCTGCTGGAGGAAGGGACAGGGTGACTTGAGAGGCTTTTCCATCATCATTATTCATTCCTTAGAGTGCACGGGAGTTCAGGGTATGGCCTCTGGAGCCAGTCTTTTTGGGGTTCAGAGCTTGTTTCTGTCATTTCACATACTAGCTTTGTGGCCTGAGGATAGTTATCAACTTCTCTGTGCTGCAGTTTCCTCATCTGCAAAATAGGGATAATAATAATATATATCCCCCTTGTAGGGTTATTGTGAGGATTAAACGAGATAATACATATAAGCACGGGTATTAGTTACCTATTGCTGCTGTAACAAAATACCACAAACTTAATGGCTTAAAACAACACAGCTTTATTATCGTATAGTTCTGGAGGCCAGAGGTCCTAACATGGAAACATCAGCAGGACTGTGTTGCTCCTGGAGGCCCAAGGGGAATGGCTTCCTCCCTTTCCCAGCTTCTCAGGGCTGCCTGCACTCCTCAGCTTGTGGTCCCTTCCTCCATCTTCAAAGCCAGCAGTGGAGCATCTCCCCTTCTATCTGATTCTCATCTCCCTCTTCTGAGGACCCTTAGGATTACCTTGGGCCAGACTGGATAATCCAGGGTCATCTCCCCTTCTCAGAATCCTTAATTTAATCGTGTCTGTGGAGTCTGTTTGCCATTCAGACTCAGCATCCGCCACCCAAATCATATGTTGAAGTCCTAACCCCCTGTATCTCAGAAGATGGCGATAGGGTCTTTAAAGAGCTAATTAAATTAAATGAGGTCATTCAGGGTGGGCCCTAATCCAATGTGACCAGTATCCTTGTAAGAAGAGATTTGAAGAGGGACCAGGTGAAGACAGAGGGAAAGGATGGTCATGTCAAGGCAAGGAGACAGGCCTTGGAGGAAACCACCTCACCAATACCTTGCCTTAAACTTCTGGCCTCCAGAACTGTGAGGAAATACATTTCTGTTGTTTACACCGCCCAGTCTGTGCACTTTGTTATGGCAGCCCTAGCAGATGCATAGAGCCATGCGAGGTCACATACTCACAGGTCCTGGGGGTTCACATGTGGACATCTCTGGAGGACATTATTCTGCCTAACACAGTGTTCAATAAATATGCGCCATTATTCGTATTAGTAACAGCAATTATGGCTATTACTAGTATTAGCAATAATGGCTCATATTTATTGAAATTATTCAGTACTACTACTGAATACTTGTTGAATACTACTAAGAATAACACTAAGAATACTAATTAGTACTAATACTATTAGTATTAATTAGTGATACTATTATTCCTATGGATTAAGCACTGCCAGTCCCAGTCCCCCAAAGGCTGTCATATACGTGTATCTCATTTCATCCTCACATCACAAACTCTTAACAACAAATTCTCTAAAACTCTATTTTTCCCACTGGATTTCTTCAAGGCAGTGAGGAACATTCCTAAATGAACAGGACCAAAACATGTTTGAATGTTGTCCCATAGGATCCCCGCAGCAATCCTCTGAGGGAGGCAGGGCTGGATTAGTGTCGCCTTAATACCGGCAGAAACAGGGAATGGCTTGTTTAAGGCCACACCGAGCTTGTGAGCCGAGAAGCCGGGCGCACCTGCGCATTCTCTCCCATAGCTGTGAGCCCCTGCAAGGCCTGGTGCTGACCTGGCACTCGTGTAGACACTGTCCCATCAGATCCTCACAGCCATGGGGAGGAGGTTGGGGCTTTGAGCTTCTGCTTCCCTGTGTCGGTGCAGAAGCCAAAGCCCAGGGGTGATCAGTGACTTGCAGGAGGCAACGGGGCAGCGAGGCGAGCCCAG